CCCCAAAACCCCAAAACCCCAAAACCCCAAAACCCCAAAACCCCTACTATCAAAATAATTTAGCATTTGATTAGCATAATAAAATATATTTAGTAATAAAATGACTTGTAATTTACTACATGATTACTCATATTTGAGGTTAACTTATACCCTATTACTAGCCTGTTTTTTCTTTAATTAAGGTCTTTTGAAAGATTATAAATAGCTCTAATACAATAAGAATGGAAAATTTAAGATCGTTCAATTGACTGATATTCATTTTGGAGAGACTGACTCAAAAGATAGAAGATCTTAGGATGTTATCAGAACAGTCATAGAATTAGAATAACCTGATCTAGTAGTTGTAACAGGAGATGTAGTCTCTGGCTATGAATGGGATGATAAATCTTAAGGTTTTTTTGCATCTAACTACGGCAAAATGACATCTGTTCTTGAGGAACTAAATGTACATTGGGCTTTCACTGCTGGAAATCATGATACTGAAGGTGATCTAAATAGAGCTTAAGTGTCCTATCATGATCAATCATTCAGTTTAAGTCTCACTAGACCTAATGCTGCAAATATATCTTATGAACATAACTACGTCATTCCTGTATATAACTAAAATGGAAGCAAAATCGAGTTTAGGCTTTGGTTTTTAGATTCAGGATATGAGTCTAATTGCAGAGGTCTTTAAGGCTATGATTGTATATAAGAGGACTAAATTAATTGGTACAGATCAGAACATAGTAAAATATCAGATAACGACAGCAGCAAAGGTAGAGGGTTCCTTTTTATGCACATTCCAATTTAATAGTATATAAATCTCTATAACTATGGGACAATATATGGAAATAGAGGTGAAGATATATGTTGCGGAGCATATGACACTGGGTTATTTGGTGCGATCATTGAATAATCAACAGTAGAATGGATTTCTTGTGGCCATGATCATAACAATGATTATCATGGAAACTATGAAGGTGTTAATCTTGCTTATGGAAGAAAGACTGGCTATGGAGGTTATTAGTAAGCTTCTATTAAAAAAGGTGCAAGAGTTTTTGAAATTACATAGGAGCCCTACAATATAAAAACATGGATAAGACAAGAAGATGGAACTATCGATTTCAATGATATGCTTTATTCATTACATCGTACCCATTATGATTTTTAAAAGAGATGCTGTAATACAGAACTAATAGAAGAATAAGTTTAAGTGACATACACCTACTACTACTTTTTAATCGCATTGATTGCAATTTTCTTTCTTGTGATGGATAGCATAAGAAACAGGCATTTGAAAAAGAAAATTAATAATTAAGATAACGAATCTAGTTAAAAACTCTGCAAAGAACTTAGTACTCATGAATGATTTAACCAAATAGCATATTAAGTCCTTGTAAATAAGTGAAAAATCTTAATTTCTTACATAATTTTAATAATTAAAGCTTAATAGAGATAATTTTAAGTTTTCAAAATTTTTTTATGAGGGGTTTTGGGGTTTTGGGGTTTTGGGG